TTTCTGCTGCCCCTTCTTCCAGCACCGAGACTGGATGATGTTTGGTGTCGTGGCTGGCATTTGCAGCCATGAGGAAAAGGCCAAATATTGCAGTGGCGTCCACTGAGCCAATGCCATATACCTCTGGACTTCTTGTTTTGTGAGAGAAATAAACTGCTATTCATTTAAAACACTGTTGTCAGGTTTCTTTTATTTCCAGCCAAGCTCATTTCTGACTGTTCTCATAGGAGATGTAAGAAAAGGCTTCACACAGGATATATCTTTTGGGCAGGATCTTGAAGGAGATGCCCGGGTGGAAACGAGGGAGAAGGGCATTTGGGCAGAAGCAGAGCATAGTTGAAACACAGTGTGGGGAGAAGTTGTGCTACATTGAAAAGAATCAAAAAGTATCTGGGGTCTGACAAGATTCTCCAAGACAGAGAGGTGGTTTGGAGGGTGTTCCGATCTAGACGAAGCACTGTGCAAAGTGTGGAGACTGATGTGTGTGCTATAATTGAGGCGTGCACGTTTGTGCCTGGCTCCTGTTTGCAAGGCTGCAGAGATGAGGCCGGGAAGGTGGAAGGGGCCAGATCCCCAGTGGTTAGGAGCTTGGCCTGCAGCCTCTCTGCTGGTCAACCTGAGCCAGGCGTGGCCTGACAAGGTGTGAACGGCCAGCCTCTGTGCATCCGTCTGCGGGGTGGGGGGGGGTCTGCCCCTGCCCAGAGTCCTTCATAGCTGTGGGAAGTGCCTGTCTGCTTCCTCCCATCCCTCTGTCCCTTCCCATTCCGGACCTGGAATGGGCTTCACCAGCACTGTTTCTCATAACTGATAAAATACTGCCCTGTGTGCAGGGTAGGACTCACATCCTGCACCTTGTCCCAGGCAATTCCCTGATGCGCTGGGCAGAGATTTCCAGGGTTCAGGTTGCTTAACATAGAACAAATAAAGGTGCAGGTTTGGAGGCTGAGAGCTATTCTCACCCAAATGTTCCGCTGACTGTGGTGGGTGGACAGGACGTCACACCACTCACAGGGTCAATTTGGGAGGAGAAAGGGAGAGGGTGGGGACTTACAAATGTGCAGGACAGTCTTGCCAGGTCTTCACCCTCCTGGGGTCCCTCCCACTGGAGCCATTGCCTTTTCTCTGCCCTACAGTAAATGCCCCAGGGCCCCTCGATCTTTAGCCTCTGAGGCTTGTCAAGGCGGACATGATTCAGTTGTCTTTGCTGAATTGCAGGATTTCGGTGCACGGAGCGTCCTGTGATAGAATCGAAAGATGTGCAGAGAGTCAAGCAGACCCAAGTTTAAATTCCAGCTTCACTTGTTATTAGCTGAGTGACTTGGAAACTTTATTAAATGTTCTAAGCTCCTAGTTAAAGGAGCAAATGCATGGTGTTGGACACTAAGGAAGCATGCCATAAATGTTACAGATTTTTAGTGTGGCCCAATCACATTTTGAGAGACTTATTTATGCTTTTTAAGAAGTCTTTCCATTTTCTCCTGTCTCTTTTTCTCATTAAAGGAAAAGCCAGCTTTGCCTCTCTTTGCCTCAGGGGAGGTCTGGGCAGGGCAGAAAGCAGAAGGGACCTGCAGGGTTTTCAGGGCGTTGTTGTCTGAAGCCTAAGCCCGTAGGAGAACACAAGGCTCCTTGGAGGATGTACAAGGAAGAAGCAGGGGAGATGGCCAAGTCCCGAGTGGCAGGGACCCGGACCCTGCTCCAAGGTGGTGGCCCAGGGAGGTTGCAAGACCAGAGACGAGTGGCCGTGTGGCTTGTCTGGGGGAGTATGACCAAGGCAGCTTCCAGAGGTTGGGGTGGCCCAGGTGAGGCACAGAGACAACAGGGGCTGGGGCAAGGACAAGAAAGAACCCTGGGCCCAGCCCTGTGACTCGCACGCTGGAGAGTCACCTGGACCAAGCACGTCTGCCGGGTACAGCACAAAAATGACTAAGATTAATTTGCCCCCATCCTCAAAGGACAGGAACACACTGCAGAAATTCAATTGATTTATAGAAGAGGAAAAGAACTCCTGCTTTGTACACAACTGAGGTTCAGACCAGTGCCATGAGCGCGTAAATCCCACATTTCACAGATGAGGAAAGGAGACCGGAGAATGAAGTGACTCCTTTAAGGTCACACAACTGCAGTCGTCTATGGCCCGCATGTGTAGACGGCCTAACACGCGGCAGCACCTGACACCCTACTCTTTGATCCCCACACGACCCTCTCAGCATCACTGTCTCTCACTTATGGAAGAGGAAACTGAGGCACAGAGAAGTAAAGGAACTGGCTCAAGGTCATACTGCTGTGTAGCTGACCCAGGAGTTAAGCCCAGGGTGGCCACCCGTGCACTTCCCCAGGGACCGTGCTCCTCTGCCACCTGGCCCCTTGCAGCAGGAGGTGACATCTCTATGGATTTCCTCCTAAAGCACGTTTCACAGCAGGGTCACATATTAGAGCCAATCTGTTCCTCACCTGACCGTGGGCTCCCTGAGGGTAGAGATGACGGCAGCCATGTCTCTGTGTGTCCAGTGCAGGCACATAGAAGCCGCTTAAGAAATTGCCTTGAATGGGCTTTGTTGGGGCTTATATCTGAGTGGAGATCACAAGCTCGTGCTAAGGGGGGTGTCCCCGGGCCTTGAATTGTTGTAGTCACTTTTGTGGGTCAGTCCCCAGGCACAGTGAATCTTGATCAAGGAGAGTCATCCCCACCTGGCACCAGGTAACCAGTGATAAAATCTTACCGTGGCTTTTCTAAAAGGTTTTTGCAGTTCTTGGCCTGCCCCCGGTCGACAAGGTCTCCTAATGGTCTGTGCTCTCTGGGCAGGGCTCCTGACAGGGCACGCTTGAATGCTGTTAGAATGACCCCAGTCTTGTGAACAGACGCAGAGCAACCAGTGCTCAGGGATCTTTGGTTCCTGGCTGAGGTCACCCTTCGGTGGGACAGGAGGCTGAGTCTGACGTCTAGGGTCAGCACGCAGGAGAGTTTGCTGCTAGGTCAGCCTGGGCCACTGCGGACATGAAACTGAGCGGTGCAGCCCTCCCCACATCCCTCCCCCTCCTCCCTCCTGGTGGTGCTGACCCCAGAGGGTCCCAGCTCCAGATGCTGCAGACGGGGCCCACTGCACCTGGGCACAACTGTGGCCAGAGGTGAGGAGGAACGAGCCAGACCTGGCGTTGTAAACCGATGAAATTTCCAGGCCCTGCGGTGTAGTGTGCAGTGCGTGACGCCAGGAGTCTCAGGATAGTTTCAAGCTGTGTCTTCATTATGAGCAAGCCCGTTGACCAATCTGGGCGTCCAACTCCTCATCTGCAGGACATCATAGAGACCTCGCCTGCTGCTTCTCTCTCTGCTTCTCAAGGGTGGAGGCAAGGACATTCACTCATTTGCTTAACCAGACATTTCTTGGGCACCTATTATGTGTCGCGCTGGTGCTGGCATGCGTGAAGAAGCACTGCTTGGATGTGGGGACGTGGTACAGGGCATGCAGGCCTTGGCTTGGCAGGGCAGTGTCCACAGGGAAGAAAACAGAAAGCAAGCTGCAGCCCTCAGTGTTGATTTTGCTCTCCGTGTCCCTGGCTTCGGGGAGGGAGGGTGCCACCAAGGCAGCTGGATGTGCTTGTGCCACCTCCAGGGCATGAGAGCAGCAGTGTCCTGGCCTTCTGGGAACCTGGCCCTCAGCTTTGCGAGGGGACGTGGGTGGAGGGGGTGTTGCCCGTCACGGTAGGGATCCGATCTGGCCGTCTTTCTAACTTCTCTTACCAACACTCAGTTCTCCTGTCCGAGTCTGAGCCTGGCCTCCCGGGGCCCTTACAAGCCAAATGCATGAAACTTCAGAGTCTGTCCCTGTTGGCAGTGCCCCCACCCGCCCTGTCTTCCACTCCCCGCAGGCCTCCTCTCCACGTGGACACCCGTTCCGCAGGCGTCGGCTGCTGGCATGTGCTCTCCCGCGCTCCCGTGGGCCTGGAGCCCTTGCCTTCCTGTTTTGCCCCTTATTCTGACCAATTCCTGATTTCCCGGTATTTAGACTCCACCAACTTCATGGCTGGAGTCTTTTCCTTCTTGTCCTGAACCTTTCGGGCTGCAGCCATGAGAGAATGTCAGGCCTCTCGGGCCAGGGCTCTGGGAGCCTCCACTCCACGCGACCCTCTGTGCGTGTGCTTCTGGGGAGCTTCCCCTGCACCCCTGAGTGGGACTGACACTGACTGGCCTGACCTGTTCCCTGCCCTGTCACTGCCATGCTGCCCTCCTTCCCTGTGTGTGTGACACTTGTCTGCCTTTCCAGCTCAGCTCTGCCCAGTTCTTCCAGTGGCTAACGTGATCTGGCACTTAGCCCTCACCCTCTGCACACCCTTCTAGCATGGCGCCAAGGGCCCACGTCCCCAGGGGCATGAGCCTCAGGCCCCCTTCCTTCTTAGCCCCCGCCCTGTGGGATGCGGGGCACGCCTGCTCTGGGCTCTAAACCCCGAGCCCCACTCTTGGGGTGACAGATTGAACAAGCACTCTCTGCTTCAGGTGCCACTTTAGGATGGAGCCCCGCCCACCTTCCGGAAAACGGCGCTGGGGGAGATTTCTGGATAGGCGAGGCTGCAGCTTCCAGGGAGGTCAGGCCCGGGCAGGGCAGGCAGGTCGGGTAGCAGTTGGGTCTGTGGCGGACAGGCCTCTTGTAGAGCGTCAGGCGTACGTGAAACAAGTGTCTGGCGGCAGCCCCGGCTGTGCTGGCTCCAGAAGGGGCGTGGTTTGGAAGGGGAGATCGGATCAGAGAAGCCTATTGTTGACGTTTCTGGCCTGAAGACCGGGCAGCTGTACCCTTCAACTTTGAAGTCCCTGGAGCGGTGGAACTTGTGGTCCTCGTCTGCATGGGTCTTAGGTACTCCGGGTGCCATCTCACAATGTTTGTGGCGTGGCCTGAAGGCAGGGGCTGTCTCTGAAGTCTGGGCTCCCAGCCAGAGTGAACCCTGCTCCCTCTATAAAGGCCGCGGGGAACGGGCACTGGCTGGCACAGCGGCAGCCGTGGTGCGGAATGAGGTGCCCGGTGGTGCTCTTTGCAGTCCTTGCTCTCTCCCAGGGCAGTGAGATCGCCAGGTGAGTGTCAGCCCCCAGGGGAGGGGCAGGGCCGTTCATGCGTCCTCTCTGGGAGGCTCTGTCCCTGGTCTCCCAGCCATCATTCCCCTGGGCAGTCTCGCGAGGCAATGCTGCACGTTCCCAGGATGATGCCCCCCACGTTGAGACCTTTTCGTCTCAGTGTGCCCCTGCACTTCACGGTGTGGCAAAGAGACAGGTCACGCGGGCAGCCTGGGGACATTAGGGCAGGGCTTCTGGAGTCAGAGTGCCTGGGATTCGATCCCCAGCTCCATCACCAACTTAACTCTCTGTGCCTCAGTTTCCTCATCTGTTGTAAAATTAGGATAATAGTCGTACCCATTTCATGGGGATGTTATGAGGATTATATGAATCGATATTTGAAAATGCTTCGAACAGTGCCCGGCACACTGTAAGAGCGACATATACATTTGTTAAACAAAATAAAGTTCTCTGTTGTACCAAGTCCTTTGTGGGTGAAGGTCCCAGGTCCCCCTCCAAAAATCATAACTGATGTATCGAGCTGTTTGCTGGTAGGTACCAGGCACTTTACTCTTTGCTTACGCTGTTACTAATCCTCATGGGTTAGGTGGATATTAGTGTTTGTATTTTACTGATGAGAAAACTATTGTTTAAGGGTCCCTAGGGGGGTTTTTTGGGTTGCCCAGGCCCCTTGGTTGTTACCGGGGGGGCCGGGCTTTGGCCCCGGGGGGTTTGGGGTTTTGGCCTTGTTTTCCCTGGCGTTCCGGTTGCCGGTTTGGACCCTTTTCCGGCCTTGGGCCCGGGGCCTGGGTTCCTTCCCGGGGGAGGTTGGGGGGCTTTTGGGCGGCCAGGGTTTTTTGAAGGGGAGTTTTTTCCAGTTCCCGGTGGCCGGCGGCCCCAGCGCAGGGAGGCAGAGCTGGAGCTGAGACTCGTGGCGGCTGGAGGCTCCAGGGAGGGCCGCCCTTTTGGCTCGGCATGAGGTGGGGACCCCCTTCTGGCCGTGGCTGGCTTTCCTCTCTGAGGCCTTGTGCCGGGCAGGTCAGCTCAGCAGTCTCAGCTACGGCCCGTGGGAGTTTCCAGGCACGCAGCAGTGAGGTCCCGACCGATCAGACACCGCAGCTGGAGCCACGCAGAAAATATTTTACAGCACTGGACACGGGGACATAGGAAAGGGAGCCGTGGGCTTGATCTCAGGAGCTCAGTCCAGCCTCCTTCCTTTTGTGCCGATGTCCTTTTCCACCACCAGAGACAAAGTCCTTTATAAGTCAGGCTCCGGTCTAAGTCACAGGAGGGCTGGGCTGAGTATGGGAGCAGAGACCATGACTCACAGGCAGCCTGCTCCAGGCGGCCGTCTGGGGCGTGAACAGCACGAGGAAACCCACTCTCTTCGTGAGTCTTAAAACTGTTGCCATTTCACTGTTGTCAAAGCACCTTCGCATAGTCTCCAGCCATTCTTTAAACCGGCCCCGCCAAGAGGGACCACGTGATTCCTAGAGGTGGAAGGGGCCGTGGGAACCGCTAAACTACTTCAGCCTACAGGAGAGGAAGCTAAGACTCAGGGAGGTTGGGCCACCTCCTTGGTCAAGGAGAGTGGCTGGAAGGCAAGGGGTTAACTTATTTCACAGAGGAGGGAGTTCAGGCTGGGGGTAGGGGGTGCTTTGGGGAGCCTGCAAGGGGAGGTTGGGGACTTGGGGAGTCTCCAGGGGAAGGTCGGTGACTTGGGGAGCCTTCAAGGGGAAGGTCGGGGGGACTTGGGGAGCCTCCAACGGGGAGGTTGGGGACTTGGGGAGCCTCCTAAGTTGCCCCAGACAGGGTGGAGCCAGGTGTAAACCAGCTTCTGTTGTTCCACTCTTGACCTCTGCCTGTTGATCTGCCTCCATCATCCAATACCTAAGCTTGACCAGGAGGCCCCTGGGAAGCTCTCTGAAGAATTTCTGCCCATTTTAGGGAAAAAGCTACCCAGACAGTGGAGCAAAGGGTTAGCAAAGGGTGGGATCATTGTCATGGCATTAGCCAGAGTGTGGGAGACTTCGTTTTGCCCTCCAGGCTGCGGGCTCCTGCGGGTAGAGACTGCATCGTTTTCTCCATTGTGTCCCCAGCGTCCTGTACAGTGTCTGGCACATAGTAGGTACACAGCAAGAATCTGGTGACTGAACGAATGGCAATGTGCTTAGTGTGTTTCAAACTATGGGTTGCAAAGCTCATTAACATTTTGTAAAATGCATCTGGAGGGTTTCTACCAGCATCAAAAAAAGAAAAGGAATAGAAAACATCAGAGCACATCGCACTCTGTCAGGATAGGCACCGATTTGAGAATTGATGTAAAATACATTTCTTACCTTGGGTTATGATAAAAAGAAATGTTTGAAAGTCATTGGCTGAGGATCAGTGGGATACTGACCAGAAGGCTGGGCTGGGAGGAGCAGTGCGGGGAGTGGCTTATGGAGCCCAGAGGCTGTGGCACCTCTTGGAGGCTGGGCAGCCTAGGAGAGACACCCACGCTCATCACGAATTCTGCCCGTCTCCTCAGGATCCCTCTGCACAAAGGGAAGTCGCTGAGGAGGGCCCTGGAGGAGCGTGGGCTCCTGGGGGACTTTCTGAGGGAACACCAGTATGCGATCAGACGGAAGTATTCCAGCTTTGGGGAGGTGGCCAGCGAGTCTCTGACCAGCTACCTGGATGTGAGTGACTCTGCCAGCCTTTCCACTCAGCCCCGCCCCCCACGGGGTTTCCCTCTTTCAGGAATCTTGGCGCCTGTGGGTTGGGGAGGCCATCTCCCTGCCCTCAGTAAGCTCCAGCAGAGCCAGGAGAGCCAGCAAAGGCCACTGTGGGGCGGGTGTGAGCTCAGGCGACCTTCCTCACACAGCATCCCTCGGGGGTGCATGATCTGCTGCCAGATCCAACGTCACACCTGCCCTTCCCAGCCCAGGGAGACCATGTCTTAGTCTAGGCTCAGCAGGGATGGGGACCGCTGGGGCCAGTCGGTAGCCATCCAGAGCATGGTGCCATCTTCCTCTTCCCCCCACCCAGGGCCCAGGCAGGAATGTCCCTTGTGCTCTCTTCCTTTCTGGAGCGTGTCTTTCTCTCATCTGTCACTCTTGACGGTAAACAACCAGCCTTTTCTCTCTTCTGTGCTCTCATTTTCTTATCTAGGTCATCTTCGCCTCCCACCCCCAGCTCTGACAGCAGGGAGAGCCGTTGGGAGGCAGGTGTGGCAGGGACGACTTGGCTGGGGACTTGGGGCCCTGCACGTAGCTGATGCCCAGCCTCTCTGTCCAGTTCTTCCTGCCCTGGCCGGCCCAGTCTCCCTCCCAGGCTGGATTTATGTTTTGGGCCAAGGTCTGCTTCTGAGGCTGATTCCAGCACTGGCTGTAGGGCTCGTGGGAGGATCAGGCCAAGCTTGGCTGGTGGCGGGACGCTGGGGGAGGGGTGCTGGAGAAGAAGAGCCCTCCCCAGTATCCTCCTTCTGTTTCCTCCCCCTCCCCGTCCCGGGTCTCTGCACAGGAAGCACAGGGTCTCCAAAGCTGCCCACGCTCCACTCCACGCCCAGCATCAACCTTCCCCTCCCTCCCTCTCTGTCCCATCTGCCTTTGACCCGGTGCTGTCTGTCCTCAGAGCGAGTACTTCGGGAAGGTCTCCATTGGGACCCCGCCCCAGGAATTCACCGTGGTGTTTGACACGGGCTCCTCGGACCTCTGGGTGCCCTCCATCTACTGCACCAGCAATGCCTGCCGTGAGCGACCTCCCCCTTCCGCCCCACCTGCCACGCTCGGTCAGGGTGGCAGGACAGTAGACTTTGACCTTCCCGGCCTCCTGGTTGTGCCCCATCTCTTCACTTGACCTCCCAAATGGCCACAGACTGGGACGCTTTGAAAATCACGGGTCTAAGCTAAAAATTAGGGAATGCCAGTTTCTTGGTTTTTTTTTTTTTAGTCTCTACTGGGAACCAAGGCAAGCTACTTACCCGCCTGGGTCCTCAGTTTTCCTTTCAATAAAATGGGGCTATGACATGCCAGTGTGAGCTGGGAGAATAAAGTGAGAGAGTCTATTGCTAACGATGAGTAAACACTGAACTTGTGTTAATCATTTATTTTTCCAGCAATCCTGGGAGGGTGGTGCTCTTATTATCCCCATTTTACAGATGAAGAAACCAAGGTATGGAGAGGAAAAGGGACTCGGCTGAGATTACTCAGCTGGTAAAAGTAAAATATCCATGAAAACCACAGGGAGGTCTTTTTCCTTTCTGTTTTTGTTTGGAAACGACCCAGGCAGCAGTGGGTGCCAATGAGCTGGGTTGAGCAGCAAAGAATAATTTTCTTTATTAGACTGTGGGACTAAGAGCGTAGAGAGAATGGGCTGCTTATTTTCTGCAGTGAGAACAGCCAGTATCCAGATGATACTCTTTCAAGGCCTGGTGAGGGTTTAAGCCCTGGCTGTCTCCGTGGGTGGCGAGAAGATGCTAAGAGCCCTGCTAACCCCTGGTCTGTGTTTTAGAAAACCACCACCGCTTTGACCCGTCCAAGTCCCGCACCTTCCAGATGCTGAGCAAGTCCCTGTCCATCCGGGATGGCCTGGGCAGCATGCAGGGCTTTCTGGGCTACGACACTGTCACCGTAAGTGGGCTGCGGGCCAGCCAGTGCTCACCTCGCCTTTCCCGCCAGCGGCTTTCCCGCCACGCAGACACCCGGCTCTGGTGGGCTGCACCCGCAGCTGGCGTGCGGAGCCCTGTGCCCTGCCCACCCAGGGGGCTCCGTGGGTGAGGACTCCGAGAGGGATTTTAGCCAACAGCCAGCTGTGGGTTGTCTCTTCCTCCCTCCTCTCCTTCCCGTGTCAGTGCTCAGAGGCCCAACATGAGAGTCTCTGCCAGGTCCGGGTTCCCACCTCCCGGACCCTTTTTCACGTGTCCTTGCCATAGTTAGTTCAGAATTATGAGCTTGTGCCAGCAGCGAGCTCTTCAGTGTCCTGTATGTGATCTTATTTTAAAATTTCATTCTTCCGACAGCCCTTTGAGGAAGGTATTTTTATTCCCATTGTTCAGATGAGAAAACTGAGGCTCAGAGAAGTTGAAAACTTGCCTGAAGTCACGCAGTGGGTGCCTGTAGGTGCTAGGCGCCAGACTGCATCTCTGGCTCTCTGAGTAGTGCTCTCAGCTAGACCTCACTCTCTGTAAGTCAGAGCGGCATCTGGGCCTCCCCCTTCCCCTCGCCTCCTTTTGGCCTCGGAGTACCTGATACAGTGGTGGGAACTTAGTAAGTGCCCAGTGCTTGTTAGTGTCTTTCTTTCCTTCCTCATACGTCATCCAGGATTAAATACTGAGCAATATCACTCTGCGTTTATCACCTTGATCTCCCTAGGGTTCTTCCTTGGGTCTGGCTGAAGTCTCTTTTGCTTTGAGTCCAGCAGGGCACAGCCCTTCTCTGCTGACAGCATTTTCCCCAGCCCGTTCCTTGGCTGGGCGGGTGCTCAGGCCTCCCCAAGAGTTGGCACCAGACAGCAGTGGCCTCAGGGCCTCTTGCTGAGGTGGTCCAGCCATCAGGCCTCTAGAAGGCTAATTCCCCTGCCCGGGACCAACTTCCTCTGCTGTCGGGAGCCATTTGCTTTCATTTTTGCTATTTTGGGCACATTTGCACTGGAGACATGGCCCTGTGCTGGCAACCTCAGCTGTGCTGTGTTGGGCTGCTTTTACTCATTCCCTTGGGCAGGGGTCGGGGAGAAAGCCCTGGGGTCAGCCCCCCAGCAGTCTCACATGGGAGAGGGCGGGGTGTGGGATGGCACGTGTTGGGAAGCCCTCGGCTGGTTTGGCAGCTGGCCTCACCCAGGCCCCACTCTCTGCTTGTCTGGACCAGAGCTGGCTGGTTTCAGAGTGGGGACCAAATGGGGAGGTCATCCCAGCCCCCTGTTTCCAGCAGGAAAGTTTCGGGGGGCAGGAGGAAAGGGTGAAGTCCAGTAGGCTAGCCTAGGGCCTGGCTCCAATGACGGGGTGGTGCTGGGGCTGGAACAGGGGAGGGGCTGTCACCAGAGCCACGGGGAAGGGGGCTCTGAGCGCAGTTGTGGGAGATGCTGAGCTCTACTCAATCCAGGGTCTCCTCCCATCCAGGAGCTCCCTGAGGAGGGAGGGGGTGCTGGGTGCTAAACTGAGTGGGGAGAGGCCCCACCGCACTGGGCTATGGTCAGGAGCAGGGCTCTGGGGCGGATGCGGCAAGTTTTTCTCTATAGAGCAGGGTGACTTTGGGCAAGCCTCAATTTCCTCATCTGTGGAATGGACATAATAATACTTATCTCAGAGCATTGTGGTAAGGAATAAACACACTAATCGTGTATTACTTGTTCGTCATTTCATTCCCCATGCCCCGCCTGTCCGCGAATCCTGTTGACCCTCCCTCCCAGGCCACTGAGGGTCTGCCCACTTTGTAGCCCTCGTCCTTGGTTCCGCCTCCATTGCCTCCCATCTGGATGACTGGAACAGCCTCCCAGTGGGCTCCCTGCTCCTACCACGTCCTGTCACCACCTGACACAGCGGCCAGAGGGATCCTTTAAAAAGTCCTGTCATGCCCTCCTTTGCTGGAAATCTTTCTGTGGCTCCTGCTTGGACTGAATAAGAGGCCTTAGCCCAGCCTGCAAGGCCCCACGTGACCCCCTGCCCTCCTCTGCCCCACCCCCTGCCTCCTCTGCTGTTCCCCTGACCCCACACCCTGCTAGGACAGGCCACCTGCAGCACCCACCTGGGCCTGCACCGCACTCCCCAGACTCCGATGGCTCCTCCCTTCTCCCCAGGCTGCCGATGTCACTATCCGTGAGGCCTCTCTCACCACCCTGTTGCCCTCACCCTGCGCTGTTTTTCTTCAGAGCGCTTGTTGCCATCTGACGTGTTCTACGTTACTTCTTTTACAACTTACTTTCTGTCTCCCCCACTGGAATGTAAGTTCCTGTAGGGCAGGCGCTTCCTTTTGCCTGTTGCTTCGCCCCCAGGGCCTAGCACCCGGTGCCCGGGAGGCCCTCCACCTGATTCTTGATGGAAGGATAGCACGAATCCACTTACTTGTTCCGCAAATGCCTGTCGGGTCTGAGTCTGGGAACCGAGGCAGAGGGCCTCGGAGCATCCCTGGTCCTCCCTCCTTGTTTGGGCTCGTCCCCAGCTTTTGCACAACGAGCACCACGTCTGTGCCCAACACTGTGTCCTCCCTTCCCCTCCTCCCTGGCCTCGTCAGACCAAGTCCTCAAAACCGCAGCACTGACTGCCGGGAAAGGAGAGTTTTTTTTGTCTTAAGCTCAAAGAACTGCGTTGCCTATAAGGGGGAAGGAGGGCTAGCGAAGATGAGACTCTGATACTGGCTCTTGACTCGGGACTCGTGGCCCCCACCCTGGGACTTTTCCGTCTCTGGCTGTGGGGGCTCCCAGTGGAGTCATTATGACTGTCTTGCAGGTCTCCACCATTGTGGACACCCACCAGACCGTGGGCCTGCGCACCCAGGAACCTGGCTTCATCTTCACCTACTCCGAGTTTGACGGGATCCTGGGGCTCGCATACCCCTCTCTTGCCTCCGACTACTTCATGCCCGTGTTCGACACCATGATGAACAGATACCTGGTGGCCCATGACCTGTTCTCAGTTTACATAAGCAGGTAGGAGCTGTGCCCAGCCAGGGCCTGGCTTGGATGCCCTGGTAAGGACTGTTGGCTGAGGAGAGTGTCCACCCCTTGGGGACACTGCCACTCAAGGGTAGTTGCCAGCATGCAAGCAAACCTCCTTGTTTCCAGGCACTTCGAACTTCTTGTCCAAGGGCCCCAAATATAGTCATCGATACAGCCAGAGCTCACGGGGCCAAAATTTGACTTTCATTTCTGGCATGTAGAAAACAAAGCCTGATCTCATCTCCTCTGTGTAAGGACTTTTAGCTTCTTTTTTTCCAAAGTGACAAGGCCCCAATAACTATTTGTTGCTATCATTGAGATCCACAGACTTTTAGCACCGATTTCAGGAGTCTAACCTTTTCCTTTCACCAGGGAGGAAACTGAGGACTGGGGTGGGGCCAGAGCGGGTAGGGGTGGGTGATGAGGGTTGAGGGGGAAGGGACCACCTCCAGGAGAAGGGGCCGAGGCTGATCCGTGCATTTACTCACTCAGTGGCCATTCACCGGGCCCTTGCTGTGGGCAGGGCCGTGCAGAGGTGGGCACAGATGGCAAGTAAGACAAACTGGGAGTTAGTGATTTAGCGGGGAACGGATAGCACACAACACACAGTTGTAATCAGAGAGTTGTGATGAGGGTGCTGCAGGGCGATTTGGGGGTGTCAGAGGCTTGCGACAATGGGGAAGCCCACGCTGACGGAGGGTGGCCAGCGCGGGCTTCCCTGAGGGAGGAGTGGGGGCATCCAGGTGAGACAGAGGGACAGCGCAGTGCATTCTAGGCCATGGGGACAGTGTGTACTAGCGCCTGGGGGTGGAATGGGGCCTGATGAGTTCCGGGAACGAGGAGCAGCAGCGTGGGAAGCAGGTAAGGTACGGCGTGCAGGTGTCTCTCAGCCATGCATGAGACGCTGCTCCGGAAGGAACCGAGGGACTTTGGGCTTAGGTGGTTTTAATCCCAAGTGTGGGACCCTGTTGGAGACCCCCTGACCTACTGGGGGCAGAAAGCCCTGGGTGGTGGGTGTGGGGAGCGGGGGCAAGGGAGACAGCTGGGAACACCTAAGGGTGGCCAGGGCAGAGCCTGGCTGTCCTGGGACCTGTGTGTGGGCCGTTTCCTCCCCTCACACAGTGACAGCTGAGCTCTGGGCTCTGGGTGCTGCCAAGCCCAGGGTGGGGGTGAGGGCCACAGCGCTCAGGAAAAAGGTCGCTGCTACCCATGCCAGAGGGAAGCCCCGCTGGAGAGGGGGGAAGGGGGAGGCTGGGGAGAGGGGAAGGGGGAGGCTGGGAAAGCTCGTCTAAAGCCTTCAGAGGTGGTGGTGGGCTGGGTCTCAATGGCATGTGCCCCGGGGTGGGTCTTCGCTGAAGCAGTGAGCCTTGTCTTGGTTTCAGGAATGACCAGGGGAGCACGCTCACGCTGGGGGCCATCAACCCGTTCTACTACGCAGGCAGCCTGCACTGGGTGCCCGTGACCAGGCAGGCATACTGGCAGTTCACCGTGAACAGGTGGGTGGGCGCAGCTCTGTGTGGGCCCAGCTTGAGGCCGGCTCCAGGTGTGGGAACATGAGGACCTGGTGTCAGGCCCCCGGGCTCGGAGAAGGACTGTGGCACAGTGGCTTGTAAGACTATCCCTCAGAATCTAAACTAGACACTTCCGAGGCTGTGACCTTTGTCAGTGATAATGCTCGCGGTCACCTCCGCTTTATTAACAAGCGAGCTGCAGTGGCGGGGCACTCGCTGCCTGCTGGGCCAGGTGCCGAGCGATCACCTGACCGCCTCCCTTATTCCTCACTAAAACCCACGAAGTGGGTGCCATTATCACCTCCATTTGAGAATTTACCAGCGTCAGGTTTGAGCCTCACAGCCCTGCCTTGCGGAAGTCAAGGAAGGGGTTTAGTGCACCCGTTTTGTAGACGACACCCTGAGTAGGCAAAGGTTGGATACTTTGCCTGAGACATTCAGTGAGCAAATGGCAGAAGGAAAACTTGAAACAGATCTCAGGCAAGTAGTACAGTACTCGTTCTACCCTTAATTCATGTGAATTTGCTGTTTTATTGTAGTTTCTGTCCCACAAAAGGTGGAATGTCCTCAATTTAGCCACTACGTTGGGAGAAAATGGCTTTAGATCTTTTCTCTGGGCTCAGAGAGTTTTGGGGGCTCCAGGAAAGAACCCAAGGGAGGGGCTGTGGGAGTGGTTGGGGCTTTCCTCCCAGCCTGGGGATCCTGGCAGGGGAGAGTAGGAAGGACCGGGGTGGGGGGGGCTGGATGTTCCTCGAGCCATCCTGTTTGCCCTCTGCAGTGTCACCATCCATGGTGTCACGGTGGCCTGTGACAACAGCTGTCAGGCCATCCTGGACACGGGTACCTCCTTGCTGGTTGGGCCCAGCAGTGACATCCTCAACATCCAGAAGGCCATTGGAGCCACAGAGGGCCAGTATGGCCTGGTAAGGCCAGACCCTCACCCCCACCTTCCAAGACCCCCTCAAAGTGGGGGACCCTTTGACATGGAAGAAATGATATAGGGGAAAGGCGAGGGGGCATTTCCTAGCGGATGTTGGGCTTTGGCTTCGGCCTGTCAATGCTGCTGGAGCTCCCTCGCCTCATGCAGCTGCCACAGTCTGACCTCCTGGTCCTCCGGGAGGGCCATGCCTTCCCGGCATGTGGCCTTCGCTGTGCCCCCGTGTCCCTCCTCCACCATGAGTCCATCCCTCTTCCTTCCCAGCAGCTAAGTGCTCCCGACGTCCTTGCTCTGGCTGCACCTGGGGGTGGGGGAGACATGGAGGTGAACCCCTGTGTCCCAAGCTGGGGTCTCTCCCTGAGTTGACTGACAGCTCGTCCCCCTCAGTGTGACTCTTTCGAGAACCATATCTTGGGACCAAAAGACAAGAGCCCTCTGAGGAGGTGGGTCTTCACACCTCACGGCCCATGGGGCGCAGGGGAAGGGGTCCTGTGCCGTCAGGACCAGGTGCCTCTTCCAGCCAGATGACACCCTCACCTCCTCTAAGGGACCTCCCTTGGTTCTTTAGTTTGACATCGACTGCGCAAGCCTGAGTAGCATGCCCACGGTTGTCTTTGAGATCCACCACAAAGAGTTCCCATTGCCACCCACTGCCTACACCAGCCAGGTATGTCTGGGGGGAGGTCCTGGGCCCCTCCTGTGCCCCTCCTCCCCCTCCCTCCCCAGCTGGGGCCCAAGTTCGTGAAGTGGGTGACAAGAGGTGGCATGGACTCCATAGCGAACGGAGGGACATTCCTTTAGACTGACTGGCTCTTCTGAGTGGGGCCATGTTGTCCTTGGGCCTCATTTGTGGCCACTACAGCCTCATGCTAGGAGAAATGGGGACCAGGAAGGACAGCCCACCCTGGCTTGTGGCGGTGTAGATCTGCAGCTCTCTGTGAGAACCTCCATCCACTGCTCAATTTTCTAAGCCCAGGGGCCTAGAGCTCTGTCCAGGGTTTTCTTAGCTAACCTGGCTTTGTGGGGACTCAACTCTTGTCCCCACTGACCCGCTGGCCTCAGCTTTGACCTAACTCTGAGCTCCCCAAGCTGGGGAGGCAGCCTGCCTCAGTCCCCAGGCCTGCTCTGGCCGGTCATCAGGGGAGCAGGTGCTGAGATCAGAGGAGGGGCTGGGGAGGGCAGTGACGGGGAGGGGTCCAGGGCTGGATCTCCAGGGCCCCACCTGGTGATCTTGGGTCCAGTCATTTTATTTTTTGAATCTCAATTTCTTCATCTGTTGAATGAGATGAATCTGATAATTGTTTGCTTCCCCGGGAAAGTGATTTCAAGGATAAAATGAAATAGCAGAGGACAGTAATTGTGGGGTGGAGCGTAAAACATCCGTCTTTAGGTGCAGCGAATGGAGCTGGGACCCGCTTCACCTCAGCCTTGCCTTTCCCAGGACCAAGGCTCCTGCTCCAGCGGTTTCCAGGGTGATGATCATTCCCAGCAGTGGATCCTGGGGGATGTCTTCATCCGGGAGTACTACAGCGTCTTTGACAGGGCCAACAACCGCGTGGGACTGGCTAAGGCTGTCTGACCACACCACTGACCACGCACTGTGCTGTCCTCAAGCACACGCACACACACAGACACGCACACACACACAATGCGCACACAGATCAGGGTTTCAGGCACGTGGTTCCCAATAAACACCACACTTCTGCAAAGCCTGCCTTCCCTTGTCATCACCGGGGCCGAAGCCCTGCACCATTATGGGGATGGGCTGTGACTGCCAGGTGGTGTGCGGGCAGAGCAGGGGCTGCACGGGTCGGGGAGGGCTGAGGATGCAGTTGGTGGGTGGAGGCTTCCTCCAGGGCAATGGCTATCTCAAGCTGAGGACAGGGAAGACCAAGGCATGGCTTGCCTGCCTATCCTCCCACTCTGGGTCTTTCTGGGAAAAGGCACGGGAGGGGAGACCTCTGCAGGAAAGACTCGTTTGGACCTGTGGATGAGCGTCGAGGGCTTGGTGGTGTGAGCCTGAGTAGAACCCCCGGCCGCCGGCGGGGAAGGACCTTGGTCTGTTAGGGCAAGGGCCTCACAGCCGTTGGAAGAAGACGGGCTGTGGAGTAGGCAGGGGGTGTCTGGGAAAGATCTGAGGGTCTCGAGATTGCCATTCACCCTGGGGAAGAGCCACGGACTGAAGTCCCATCCTCGGTCTCAGCGGCTCAAGCCCTGACTGTCGGCCTCAGAGAGGCTCCGTCACGGAGGGCGGGCTCATGTCACAGCCAGATGCCAGCGCTCAGATTCCCCGTGGCTGCCCAGGCCCACGGAGCCCTGCGCACTCTCTGGGGAGACGCCACACAGGAACCCCAAGTGTTAGAGGGCCACACAAGGGGATTCAGGTAGATTTAAGAGGTTTTTCTCAGTGAGGCTAATTTGAGGCTCCTCAGCTACGGTGGGGCACAGGCAGACAAGGCTCTTGGGGAGACCACAGTGCTTGGCGTCAGCCGGACGGACCCCTGGACAGTGCTGTGCTGGGAGCCGCAGGCGTTTGCCGCCCTGGCCCTCCTTTCTTTTTCGTTGTTCCCCCTTCTTCTGCCAGTCTTCTCCCTGTCAGGGTACAGCATAGCTGACCAGGCTTCTGCTCTCTAAGTCATAGCTGGCCTTGCCCTCGACCCCGCCCACCCCAGTATAGTGATTGGACTTTGTCACAGCTTTGCAGCAGTTTCACTCTCAGAAGGCCTTGGAGGGGGTGGGACCATCTTGCCATGGCGCCCCTGCCCGCAGCCTTGCCCTGCAAACAGCCGAGGAGCAGGCGAGCAGCGCGGCGTGTCTCTAGGAGGCGGGAGCTGCAGGTCTCGGGGTGATGCTTCCCAAGGGAGACTGTTCTGGATGAAGCGGAGTGGACGCGGGGGGCGGGGAGAGGAGCAGGGGCTGACTTCTTTCTCCCGGTGGGAGCTGCCCATGGGGTCCTGTTGACAAGCCATCTGGGGGCACCTCCCGGGGTCTTTCTCAGCTGGACCCAAGGACAAACAAGATGAGGGACCCAGGGCAGTGGAGCTGCTGCCTGTGGTGCCTTACTGGGTCTGTGGCTGCGCAGGGAAGGAACAGCGGGGCTGTGGTCAGGGGAAGTGGAGGAGGAAGACTCAGGCTGCAGTCCCGGGCCAGCCGAGGAGCCTGGGGTGGGTTGGCGCAGAGGCCACGGAACATCCCAGGCCGTCAAACTCACAGGGTGGTGCCGGGAGGGAGCAGGCGTTGGTGTTTGAGCCTTGCTGGGTCAGGGCGTGAGCCCGGTGCCCAGGAGCGAGTCTGGCTTTGGGAGACTCCCCCAAGCCTCGCTGTTCTTCTCTAGGACCAACACTGCCTGTTTGCCAAGAATGAGACAGAATTGGGCCACTTTCATTATTTTTAGGCTTCTTGTAGATTTTAAAAAAATGCTGAACAGCCTTACAAAAATTGTGTTATGTATTTTCATGGTTTACATTTAACAATTGTGTCTTAAACATCCAAACTTCAGTGGGAGATAATGCAGAAAGTCTAAATTATGATTCCTTTCACAAATGTGAGCTATGGACCAAATGGCTCTCCCTCACCCCTGGCCCTCCTGGGCCTGGTGGGGACCCTGCCCTGAGGGGGCAGTGAGGCCACGGTGAGGCTGGCGTGTGGAGCCCCTCCCTCCTGGGGCTAAGGAGGTGTGGGCAGCACAGCACCTTGTGGCCTCAACTCTGCTCCCGGCCGCAGAGAACACTCTGCCTGGAATGTTCTCTACGCTCCAGCCCCTCCAACTTTAATCATCCTTCAAGCCTCTGCTCAGTCAGATCTCTTCAGCACACTGCGGACCAGGCCGGGGCCTTAGTGTTGTACCGTTTCTGTCCCTGTTTGTCTCCCTCAAAGACTGTGGGCTCCCAGGACAGGCACTGTGCACCTCTCATTTTGATCTTGGGTGCCTGCTCGTGGAATGCCCCAGCAAGTATTCAGAATGAATGAGCGAGTGAATGAATTATTCCATCAGTGAGGTCCTCAGGAGTCACACTGCTTTCCTGGTCTCCTCTTTACCCTGGGGTCTTTATGCCACCCCTTCCCTGCCCACACTCAGGCTCACTCCCCACATCTTCTCCCTCCCCCCATTGACTAGAACACTCCCCGTTGCTTCCCTGGCCCTGTGGAACTCCTCAGTGCACGTGGGGAGTTCATTGAAGGGCAGAGGGGCAGATAAGCTGCCACCAGGGTTTTAAGTTCTGCGAAGGGGCCCACGTTGGGCTCCGGGGGCAGGCCCAGCTCTCTGGGGGCTCTGCCAGGTGGTGGGTGGAGAGGACTTGGGAAGGGGTGGCAGCACAGCTGCGATTTGCTTGTGAAGAGGGGCCGCCAGGAGGCCAGGGAGGAGCTGAGCGGCTGGAGGGCTCTTTTCGGGGCTGGGTGACTCCCTGCCAGGTCCCCCCTAGTCCTGTCTGTTGATGAGGCCCAGGAAGGGAGAGGGCAGCTCAGGAAGCCTCTGTGGCCATTCACGTCCACTGGTCCTTTTGCCAAGGCCACACCCAACACCCTCCAAGGCTTGCCTCTGAGCCTCTGCTCATGCTGTCCCCTTTGCCTGCTATGCCTTTGCCTTTCTCTAACCTATCAACTGCTCCTCTTCCTTGAAGACCAGATTAAACGTCACCTCCTCTGAGGTGACGTCCCCAAATCTCCACTTCCTCATTGCTCAGCGGTGATCTTTATAACAGCAGTTATTGTTTATTCACTTACACATCTGTCTCGCCCACCAAACCACTCTTGGGCAGCGCCTACTGCCTCCTTCCTCTCTGAGTCCTCAGCGCAGTTCCCGGCGCACTGTGGGGGTGCAGCCAGCGCCCGAGGGTGGCTTATACCTTGTGATGTGAGCAGGCGAATCTCTGGCCAAGTGGCATAAATAATGAGTGCTGAGAGGCAGGCGCTCACAAAGAGCCTGAGCGTGCACACACACACGCACACGCACACATGCACACGCACACACACACATGTGTGCACACACACGCACATGCACACATGTGCACGCCCTACCCCAGAGCAGACAGGCCGGTCCCCAGCCCTAGAGCCTATTCCCAGCCCCCTCCCTCCCTTGTCACTCAACTCCCGCCGGGTTTTCTCATGCTAATGAAGGAAGTGTTTGGCCAGAGCGAAGCCTGGAAAGGAAGTCTTTGAAATGGAAATGTTGTGACAAAATGATGGATTGTTTTCCAAGCTGCTCGGTTTGTTTCTTGCTCGCTGCAGAAAGGAAAGTATAACGGAGACCGGAGTGGCAGGGGCTGCCCGTGTCAGCAAGTCCCAGATGATAAGAAGTGCAGGTGAAACTCGCACCCGAAACGTGAGGTGAGGGGAGCCCAGGGCAGGCAGAGGGACACAGCCCAGCGGTGACGAGTAGTTCACGGATTAGAGAACGGGAGAAGCAGAGCAGGCAAAGGGAACGGCACGAGCAGAGGCTCATCCTTCGTGACCAGCTTAAATGTCACCTTCTCTCGGAAGATCCCTACTGCACATGAGACCCTTCACCCAAACTCCCCAAACTATAGGAATACTTACCAGCTCACCCCTACCCCCTAATTAGGATTATCGCCTATCTTATTCATTAAAGATACATATTGATTATCTACTGTGTGCAAAACGCTGTTCTAGGCACTTTGTCCATCCGCGAACACAAACAGACCCTGCCGCCTCATAGAACTTAGGTCCTGGGGGACGCAGACACTGGAGATGACAATTGCGCAAGTTGTGTGGCTTGCCCGGTGGTTATGAGCACGTGGGAAAGCAGCGGGCGGGCAGCTCTGGGGACGCCCGGGGAACGTGCTATGCTTTGCCATGAGGTGGGAGGGGAGGCTCAGTGAGAAGGTGACATTTGAGCAAAGACAAGAAAGAGGGGCCAGCCGTGCAGCTGTGGGGGAAAGGACAGCGTGTGGAGACTAAACCCATCCACAGTTAATAAAGAGAAGCCACTGGTAGGTAAACACGGATACATTATTTATTGCTTATGCTGGTTATCTTTCTAATAAAAAATGTCACATCTCCATCATTTTGTATCCTTATAGCACTTAGTGTTTGACACAGCGTAATCGTTCAGCAGACATATGATGAAAACAAACTCTAACTGGTTCTTTAACCCCTCGAGCCATGGTGAGGGCGGCCCAGGAGTGAGCTCTTGTCCTGGAGCGCCCTCTAGTGACCACATCTCAGATGCCAGTTTTGTGCACCCTTGGTTATATTCTGCGACATTCCTCCTCCCCACCCCAGGCGCCCTTGGGGACAGTGGCCAACCAAGCAATAGAATTGACTAAGTGTCTACTGCATGCAGGGCACAGTGGCAGCTTCTGAAGGAGGCACACAGACACAGATGTGCTCTCTGCCCTCAAACCCCTCACTCACTGGGCATCTCTCTGGTTAGCCATTCCCTTGTCAATCTTTGTTCTCTGGTCCCTCTCTGGTCTTTCTGGATCATCTGTAACACTGAAATTACGTTTTGCACTAGAAGTGGCCAGGCGGGGATGCGCATGCTGTGTGTGCCTGATGGGCTTGGGGGCCGCGCTGGCCTGCCAGGACAGCAGAGAGCCCGTCACTTCAGAGCAGCCG